ACAGCTGTCACCTCGCTTTGGGCCACGGAGCCCTGAGTCTCAGAGACAGCCACCGGGAGAGAATGATCCTTCCTTTGGAGGGGGTGGGGGTGTTGGGACTACGCAGCTGGCCCCAAATGGCACCCCTCTGGGGGGCTTCGGAGGGTCCCTCTCCTGGGAGCGCCACCAGGATCTGAACGACCGGCCCTCGGCTCTGTGGCTGAGCGCTCCAACCCACTGAGCTGCATCCGTCTGATCTCATGATATTCCCATAAAGGAATCCATGGGTTCATGCGGACCTTGTGTAAGAGTAACGGGGGACAAGAAAGCAGCCCCCCTCCACCTCCAGGCCATGGGCCAGGAAGGCTGCCCTCCTGCCCGGGCCCCCAAACGTAACCGGCAGAGCTTCTGCGCTCAGCGGCGGGAAGGCGCCCCCCCACCTCCCCTCTCTGCCTGTCGCAGGGAGACCACATGGTTCCTGGCATCGTCCCGGCAGCCCATCCATCTGCTCACGGGAGAGAGAAAAGGCGGCTGGCCCGGCTGGGAGCTCGCTCCAGCCCACGGCAGGAAAGCTTTTAGGGTGGTGACGTCAGAGGCAGGGGGGGACCCAGGTGGGATCCGAACCCCCCCCCAGGGGAAGGCAACACAAAGGAGGAGACAAAGCACCCGCCACCGGGCGTGATTTGCGGGCTGCACCGGTTCGATCTGGAGCCCGCCCAGAGGGAGGGAGGGAGGGAAGCGACGCTGGGCAGTCTTACAGCCGCCTCGGAAGCCCTCCAGGCCAGCTCGGGAGGGAGCGGAAAAGGGAGGCGATCCGTCACGCCCGGCAAGCCAGCGCGGCGGCCTGTGGCGCGGAAGAGGCAGGATGGATGGCTTCTAATAATGGATTTATAAAATATATATTGGTAACCATAAAACCCAGGGACCGGCATGAATTTTTCAAGCCACGCAGGACCTGCCAGGAGCATGTGGGCGCCGCAGGGGAGGCAAGAGAGGGAGCCCCCGCTTTTGGTGGGTTTTGGGGAGGGGGCGAAAGAAGAACCAGATGGCACCCCCCCCGCCCCACGGCTGGCGCGCCTACCGTCCGGATTCTGGGAATCGGCCTCCTTGGGAATGGTGTACAGGTCGTAGGTGCTGTTCTCCAGGTTACTGGCTCTCTGCAGAAAGAGACGGAGAGAAGTTGCAAACTTATCAGCGGACAAATCTCAACACAAGCATGGGCTGCTTTCAAGCACAGACGCCGAGTCCAAGGATTACGCCAATTAAACGACCATCTCGGTTCAGGCTGCCGAAAGAGGCAGGATTATGGGAAGTTCAGGCAGCAGCCTTTAAGCGGATTTGGTTGTGAATCCACGACCAATCTCGGGGAACGTGATGAAGGAGGTTTGCTCTCCCGCACCCACCCACGGCCTCGGGTCACCATCAAAGATGGGTGGGGGTGAGCCTTGGTGCTCCGTCCCTATTGGTTGACCGCTCGCGTCTCAGTCTGCAGCCCACCCAGCGCCAAAGGGCACCGGGGCGGCTTCTAACCCACGAAGCCCTGAACGGCTTGGGCCCAAGGTCTGCGTCTCAGAACCCATTAACCCTCTGTCGGATCTGCTGGGACTTGGGATTCCTGCCTTGAGCAGGGGGGAGTCGGACCCTGATGGCCTTCGAGGGGCCCCTTTCCCATGCCATCCTGGGTTGAGCCACCAGCTCTAGAGAGAACCGCTGTCGGTTCTTACAAGCCGCTATTTTGGTCGGGCTGACATCCGAAAAGCAGGCCAGGCGTTTTGGGACGGATAAATCCGCCAAGCGGCAAGGCGAGGGACGTCCGAGGGAGCCCTCGGGTTCCTCCAGAGTGACTCTCAACCCACCGTACAGAGGAGGACGGCGTTCTCGGCCGGGTTGTAGGACATGTTGAAGACGGGAAATTTGGACCCGCTGGAAGAGAAGAGAGAAGGCCCGGCGTCATAATCCTTTATGGAAATAACGGCTGCCTTTGAACGCCTGGCTTTCAACAGCCCAACCAGGAAAGTGGTTTAAAAGTGGGAGAGGGAATCAATGTGCAGATAATTTAGGGCTGGCTCATTCCTCCCCCCCGATTTTGAGTCTTTTTCAACTTGGAAGAGCCCTTCCACAGTGTTCAAACCGTTTCCCCCTGACAGCGGTGGGGAAAAAGGGGAGCCTCGCCTTCTCAGCTGCATCACGGCCACGTCTTTGGAGCTGTTGAAGTCCAGCTGCCGGAGGAAACGGTCCTTGACGTAGTAGAGCATGTTGCCGTGCACGGCGTAGGCGGGGCGTTCGCGCTCCAGCTTGAAGACGATCATGCCCCCATCGTGGCCTGAAAAGAGAGAGAGGAGGACTTTCCAGAAAAGAAACTGACCCGCAGCTGATGGACTCCCATCAGCCACTCCTCCGTTAAATATAAAGGTTAAAGGAATCAATGCATCGCCACCACCCTGCCCAAAATAGCAAAACACCCAAAGCTTTCGAAAAAAGAGAAAGAAAAAAAAATCAAGAGTATGTTTCAAGGTAAGAAAACAAGGTACGGAAACCAGAGTCCTTTCAGAGCTACTGGCTGGTTAAAATCAACAGTTCGCACAAGAGGAGACGAACAGGAAAAGGACTGGATGGTCCACATGAATGCAAGTCGCGGCGAGACGGCTACTTTAGCTAGAATTGGCATTGGATTTTGACCAGGCCGGGTAGAAATCAATGATGTTTTAAAATCAAACTGATGCAAATCACTGCTTGAAATTTAAAAAAAATGCATTTTAAAAATTTAAATGGCTCCCCCCAAATCTGGTGTGTTTTATTTAAAACACTTTTTAATTGTGCTATAAATCAATGTGACTTAAATCAAATCCACACTGTCCGTGCCCGAAGATTTTAAAGCAGGGACAACAGGTCTCCTTTGAAGATGCGAGGCAAGAGAACAGGCCCCTTCTTCTTACCCGCCGCGAAGAGGTTGAGGTTCGGGTGAGCCGCCAGGACCCAAAAGCGGTCGTGATCCCGGCGGAAAGTCTGAACGCCCGTGCTGGAGAAAGGTGGGCAGGAAAAGGAGAGGGGGGGGGAGAGAGAGAAAGGAAACAGGGCAGTTAATGTGCTGCTGTTGCTGGAAGGGCAGGAGGCAGAGGCTGGGGGGAAACCGGGAGGGGGGGCTGCTTACCGTTTGGACATGTCCCAGACGCGGATGCTCTTGTCCTCGGAGTTGCTGAGGATCAGCTCCTGGCGCGGGTGGAAGACGGCGCAGGAGACGTTGTTGTAGTGGCCGCGGCAGGTATCCACCTCCCAGGCTTTCGACTCTGAAGAGAAGGAGGCCTGGGGTCACCCAGAGGGGCCAAGCGTTGAGGGAGCTGAGGAGCCCACCCCCCTGTGCGTTTCGGGGGCAGAGGGGGTGGGGTGCTCTGCTAAGGAGGCAAGAGTTGGCGGGGGAGCGGAGCCCTGGGTCCCCCGCCGGAGTCCTGGTGCCTCCCAACTATTCAGGGTCAAGAGATCCCTGGCTCCTCTGAGCTGCAGTCCACACGGCCGGCCGGCCGGCCACTAGAGAAGGAAGTGGGCCTTCCCAGGAGCAGGACGTTTGGTCTGTTTGATCAGGTATGATGTGGCCCATTCTCTCGGCTGTAATGCCAAGGATTTGAGGAGGACTAGGTTCTGAATGGGCCATTAAGAGCCATTAAGGCTTAAAAAAAGACCTCCCCCCTCGTTTCATCTTATGGAGAGATCCAGCACCTTACTCTTTTTTTGGAGGGCTGCCAGAAATGTTTCCTACACTCCATTTGTTTATTTCATCTTAATTTTTGTTGATTTATACTATTTTGATTTTGCCTTTCCCCACCAAAGGGACCCTGGGCGGCTCAAGGACAGCCCTTCCCCAACGCGTTCTGCTTACAACCTGCCGGTGGAGAGATCGACAGGGACCAGGAAGCTCCCGGATTTAAACCAAGCGGGCGTCCGAGGACAATCCCTGGAGGACAGACCCACCAGGATCGTGACCAGATCAAACCGAGGGTGGCTAAAACAGACCACTGGGAGCAACCTGCAAAAGACGAGATTCCCCCCCCACCTGCCGTCCACTCTCGGGTCCTGCTCCGCCGAAGCAAGAAAGCAGCAGGGCTCACCGTTCATTCTCCAAATCTTGACCTGCCGGTCATCTGCCCCGGACACGATGAGCGGCATGGTGGGGTGGAAGGCGGCCCAGTTCACGCCTCGATCGTGGCCCTGAAAGAAAGAGGCAGCCACGGGTGAAGGATCCACGCCGAAGACCCAGCCGTATCCCACAGACTCCCCTCCCCTACTCATAGGCAGGAGGCTCGCAAAGGACTCTCGCAAGCCTGAGGGTTTTGAGCCTTCCTTTGATGCGAATCCGTTGCCTGACCCTGGAGGCACTCAGGGAGGCAGGGACTCCTGCAAGGGCCGGGGGGGGGGGCTTCCCTGGCCACAGAACACCTAACTAGGCCAGAGACACCCAGTTCTCGGCATCTCGGATCTGCTCCTCCCATAACCATCGTTACTACCAGTCCCGTGGCCGCTCTGAGAGGGCCCTGAGGGGAGAAGGTTTGCCCCCCCCAGTGTCTTCCACAAAAGATCGGGCCTCCTTCATGGCAGCTAACTGTGAAATGAATCAATGGATGGATGGATAAATGAATGGATGAATGAATTAATCGATGAATGGATGAATGAATGAATTAATCAATAAATGGATGGATGAATGAATGGATGGATGAATGGATGAATTAATTAATTAATCAATGAATGGATGGATGAATGAATTAATCGATGAATGGATGAATGAATGAATTAATCAATAAATGGATGGATGAATGAATTAATCAATGAATGGATGGATGAATGGATGGATAGATGAATTAATCGATGAATGGATGGATGGATGAATGAATTAATCAATGAATGGATGAATGATTTAATCGATGAATGGATCAATGAATGTTCAAGGCTGTTCTCTTTCCAGTTGGGAAGCACGCATGCCCATAACTCTGCCCGGCAGCTCTGAATGACTTACAGAACCAGAAGTCCTTAACCTTAGAAAGTCTCATCTCTAGCAATCTCTCTGTCCCTGCCTCCCCCCCCGCCACTGCCACACCCAGGAGTACCTCAAGGACGTGCTTCACCACCGCGTCGGTCGTACCGAACAGATCAACGCCGGTGATCCCCCGGATGTCCGACTCCACAGCACCCGGGGAGAGATTCTTCTTTCTCAGGCCTTCAAGCGGTGAAGGGAAGGAAACGCCGGCAGGAAAAGGAAACAGAAGTTTACTGAGAGCACGGAGCAAAATTCAGGGAGGGACCCCTTTGCGGAACAGAACGGGATATACGACAATGCCAACACAGAGGGAAACAAGTCGATTCTTTCTCTCCCAAAACCTCTGCTAGAAGGGAGAGAGGTTTCTAAGTCTGCTTGCAATCTGGAAGAAACGGCGGGAACTCTGGCAACCTGGAAGCGAAATCCATCTAATGAGGACTGAGCTCAGAGCAGGAGAGCGAAGGTTGAAGAAAAAAAAATGGATACAGGTGAATCTGTGCCTCCATCTCAAGCCATCTGCCTTTTTAAGGATTAGGAAAGGGGGAAATAGATTGTATGCTGGCTTTAACTACATGTAGGACCCCTATATCCATTGATTCGCTTATCCAGAGTCTGAAAATATTAAAAAATACTGTATTTTTCCATGTATAAGACTATACCTTTGTCCAAAAACTTTAGACTAAAAATTGGGGGCGTCTTATACACGGAAATAAGCTGAGGAGAGAGAAAAAACAAGTGGCGGGGAAAGCAGGGATCAAAGTGATCCTGCAGTGCTTTGATCCCTTTCCCCCTACACTTGCTAAGCCCCACTTAGATTTCTTAATTTTGGGTTAGAAAAGTTTTGGGGCATCTTATATACGGAAAAATACAGGGATATTTCTAATGATGGATTTACCAGAACTGGACACTAGAGAGAGCCAGAGAACCATAATTCAATTTTATTTATTTCTTTCACCCAAACCAGGGAACTTGACACAAGAGACTGAAGTCTCAAAAAGGATACAGACTCAGAAGGGACCCCCTTCTCGGGCGGAGGGGGGAAGGATCCTTACCGCCTGCCCAGCCGGGCAACACAAGGGGGCCGATCTTGTGAAGAAGCCGCCGAGGGAACTGAACCACAGATGGAAAATTTCTGGAGCAGCTACCCAAATCCAGAGGGAGCGGACGACTCAAACAGAGGGAACCAGCTTTTTGAAATTGGGCGGGAGTGAGCCAGGGGGCCGGGGCAGGAAAGAGGTTAAAAAGGGGAATGAAAAGGGTGTGCGGGATGGTTAAAAAGAGACGGAGGAGCCCCCATCATGCACGGGCACAGTCCCACGACCAGGCACATGGGACATGGAGTTAGGAGGGATCCCGGACGTCCTGACAAGGAAGGACAATTCATCGCCACTATGGAGAGAACGGCACTGCCTTCGCCACGATCCTTGAACTCATAATAGGAGTTGCGAAGGAGTGCAACGTGAATTGTGAAATCTGCTTTCGCCATCCCTCCCCCTTCGGAAGCTGCTTCCGTCATGCCTCTAAAGCTTTCCCAGAACAGCCCCAGTCTCTCAACCCCCCCCCCCGAGGGGACCAAAGATTCACAGGCTGCAAAGAGAGAGAGAGGGAAAAAAGCAGTGGTTAATTTCAGCCATTTTTTAAAAAAAGCCAGCTTGTTATTTTTGCAAGGTGGTGTTCATCCTCCTCATCATCTTAGAACGGCAGAGCTAGAAGGGATCCTCTGGATCATCAAGTCCAGGAGGCATGGGGGGGGGATTCGTATTCCCAACCTCGGGCTCCACAGCTAGAGACCCAGTGCCACCCAGCCAGTTTCATCCAGATTAAAACGGGGTGCCTTCCAGCCAGTTTCATCCAGATTAAAACGGGGAGGGTGGGAAAGAAAGGGGTTATTTCACAAATCCGCCAAGAGGCCACCATTAGTACGACAAGCCAGGCTGCTTCCGAGTTATACGGTTTCTCATGCATTTTAATACAGCAATCATAAACTGGCTGCATTCACTCTCCCTTAGCGGAATAATAAGGGAACAGATGCCGTAGGACCTCCATATCCACGGAACCAGTATCCACTCACCCACAGTCTCAAAATATTAAAAGAAAAATCCTCACTTAGTCTCAAAATATTAAAAGAAAAATCCCCAAAAATATGTATTTGTAATGACGATGCTACCAGGACTGGCCACCCGAGGTGCCAGAGATGATGCACCAAAATATATATTTGTAACGACGATGTTACTAGAACTGGCCACCCGAGGTGCCAGAGATGATGCTGTGCATAGTATTTGCCATTAAAATATGGTTCACTATAATCTGCGTGTTCCATCATCTGTGGGCAGGAGGAGCTTTGAACTGGTCCCCTGCAGATATGGGGGTCTGACTGCACTCCTCTGCACTGGAAACAGAGCGAGATAGACGCAGGCCATGTGCAGAAGGACGCGGTCTGTTTCGCTAAGAGATGTAGCAAAATAAGAAAAAAACATTCCAGAGGTCTTGGGTGAAATGGCGAATCGGTGTCAAAGCTTAGACTTCTGAAATTAAATACCCTAAAACAGGAACGAGAGAACTAGCACAGCGTAACAGTGAAGAACGCAACCGATGGAGTTCCTGGTTTTTAATTGCCGTGAGCTATTTAAAGTAAGCCCGTCAGCAAACAGCAGCGTCAGAAGACCGGCTTCTTTATCACAATTACTCAGCCGGCATCTCTGTTCCGGGGCCAAATTCCACCAAGAGAGTAGGAGTGAATGCAGCCATCTCGGTTATGAAGCTCTTCCGCCCTAGCAGGGAGCACAGACAAGCCCCCGGCCCCCCCGCCCCACTCCCATGGGTACAGCTGGGTCCCCTCTGAATGTGTGCTTCAAACCCCAACGGCCAACCCAGCTAAAAACTGCAGCCGAGAAAGGAGGCAGCCATGATCCCTCCTGCCTCCTGTAACCGGAACCAGACTCTAGCCTTCTCCTAGCTCTGGGAAGTCAGCCTCTTGATAATAGATTTCATTCACAGCAAACCCCAAACCCAGCCTGTTTTGACTGCGAATCCACATCCTCACATTTCCAGGGAGAGACCAGCAAAAATCGATGGGAGAGAAACTGGAGAGGCTCGGCTCTGAGGATGAAGATCGAACCCAGGCTCTCTGGGGACCATCTCACCGGAAATGCTGGCTTTACGTGTGTGTGTGTGTGTGAGTGTTCCGGGTCAGTCACTGGATTTTCACGACACGTGGCAAAAACAAAACAGAAAGCTAAAGCAGGCAGAAAACGGGTTGTTTCAAAGGCCTGCAAAATGTGACACTAAACGTTGGTGGCCTTTTTTAAGGGGGGCCTGTCGCCGGTGTGCTGCAAGTTTGCACGCCAGCATTTCTACGTACCCTGCCTCTGAATTGCTTCTTTATGGATTCTGTCGGCCGACAAACACCAGCAGCCTTTCCTTAGGAGGAAAGGCGCTACGACAGCCTTCCTAGAAGACTGAGGAGAGGAGCCTTAAGTGACCCACTCAAGGATGGAGGTGGCCAAGTTTCAAACCCATTTATGCTACGGAGGAAGCTGAACATGAACCTTCTCTCTCTCTCTCTCGTAGCGCTACGTCAGTCACACGCAGAACTTCACAAAGGGGTGGACCAAAGAAACGACTTGTTAGCAGATTAATTTCCCGAAGGAGCTCACCCAAAGTTGGGCTGAAAGCTCCTGCCTTAGGAATGTTTTAAAGAGAAATCGATTCTGGAGGAGGAGAAAGCTTTTCTCCGGTTATGAATCACAAGAAATGAATGAAGAGGCGACAGCCCTAAAGACCGATCGCACTCTAAACTTCACGTGAAGTGTGAGAACCTTCCAAGAAAGATCTGGGCCTCCGTGACAAACTTACAGGCCATCCTCCAATCTCAGTCACAAACACCGCCTGGTGCTCTGCTGTGGCTCTACAGAATGGTTCATTAGGTGGCACTGGGGGCACCACGCGGGCGGCTGGCGTACTGCGTCTCTTATTCCTCGCCTGCTCTACCCAAACAACCCCCCACCTTCATATCCTGTTCCGGTTACGCCCTGGTTTCATCGACTGCAGTTTTCAGCACGGTGGCCCTGCTGGGGGGGACAAAAACCCTCGACTTAAGCAGCTCACCAGAAATATCCCAAACGCGCACAGTCTGATCCAGGCTGGCTGATACCACCAGGTCCTCTGAAGGGTGGAACTCTGCGCACATCACGTAATGGTTATGCCCGGTCAGCACGCTGGAGGAGAGGGGGAGGGGAAAAAAAACATAACGTGTTCGGTCCCTTACGAATCCAGAAGCAAAGCAACCAGATATAAGCCTAAAGCAACTGGATCATTAAATCGAAGGCTATGAATTATTTTATTCTCTTTATGCAACACGTTGATAAGCCCTACATCAGCAAAAATCTGCTTGCAGGAGACAATTCTACAAAAAAAGAACAGGAGGAGCTCGGTAAACACTCCAGCTGGTGATAAGTACGCGACCCTTAACTTATTTGTCTTCGATCACACTGCCTGTCCCACCACCTCATAGTGCCCGGGAGAGCTTAAGAGGGCGATCCTTCCTACTCTCTCTGACCTCATGTGCAACACCTCCGGGATGCAGGGTTCGGGCTGAGAAAAGAGGCCGTCCGGACCTCCCAAACCGACCAGTTGGGCTTCCCAGCCTCAAGGCCCAGTGCTAAGGACCACACCTTCCCAAGCTGCTTCGCCTGCAGTTCAAGAAAGAGCGACTCAAAACGCACAAAGGAGTGCTACGCTAACCGGCTGCTGAGGTTTTTAGTTGCTGGTCATCTGATTTCCCCTCCTAACTGGAAAATGACTTGGGAATGAGGATTTCCCCCCCTTTCTTTACCAAACGCAGGTTCTCGACTGCCAGTTCCAGACGCGGATGGTTTGATCGTCAGAAGCACTAAGGATCCATGGATATTCCTACAGGGGGGAAAAAAAACCAAGAGAAAAACAGACACCTGTATTTCCAAGGGTCAGGATTGCTGACTTTCTCCTAGAGTCAAACTGGATGTGAAATTGTAACTGGGCAGCTCCCGTCCTGGCATTGCTCGGTGCTTCCTTAAATACAGATGATCAGCCCATGAGGACAGGAGACGGGGCCTTCTCGGTGGCTGCACCCAGGCTGGGCCCCTTCCATCCTTCCGTCGCCAGGCAAAGACCTTCCTCTTCAGGCAGTAAGTTATCTCAGGAACGCTAGCATTTCACTTCTAGGTTTTTAAATGTTTCTCTATGTTTTTTACACTTGTTTTCTTAAAAACAAATCTTAATATAGATTTAATTGTGTTTTTTAAAAATGCAATCTTTATAGTGTGTTTTTAAATTTCTTATTTTGTCTCCCGTGAGCCGCCTAGGGTCTCCCTATGGGAAGGAAGGTGGCGCAAAAATCATTTAAATAAATAAATAAGTAAATGGCTGACGGGACTGGGACGCTTGGCAAGACTCACATGATGGAAGAAAGTGGTCCGGATGTAATCCAGGTGCCCCAAGAGGGTGAAGAGACAGCGGCGCAGCTTGTAATTCCAGACCTAGAGGAAAGAAGAGGGCGTGAGCAGGCGGGTCGAGGGTCAAGTTGCACGGCTTTCCTCGCGTCCACCTGTTTTGCTAAAAATCCCGATCAGCTTAAACACGTCCTTCGTTCCGTGGTCAGGTTCTCGCTGTCCTATGCACATTTCCAACAAGCCTTCGACACACCATTAAATATCTAAGACTCTGCAGTGGATCTCCCTGCACGGTGTAAGAACGGGACACTCTCCTTTCCCCCTCCCCTCTTAGGGACAGTTCACGTCCGAATCCCCCCTGTTTCCACTATACGTGGTGTTATTTCTCAGAATGGCTGCAAGAAGGAGCCTGTTTTGTTACCTTAATTTTGTAGTCGTCTCCTCCAGAGACGAAGAGCGGCTGCTGCTTGTGGAAATCAATGCCTCGAACGGGCCCTAAAGACAAACACAAGTGAGATGCTGGTCAGTCTCCCTCCCCCCAACAGTGGTGGTTTTTGGAAACCTCTTCTCTGACTATTGTTCCTAGAGGCTCGCTTTTCTTCCTTGTACCAAACCAAACCTTTCCCAGCCCTGAATTCTGGTGGTGCGCCAGGATCGGCTGAAATAACCACACACGGGTTTTCCTTAGTGTTGATTTTAATTTGAGATTTTAAGATATTTTAGTTGTCTAAAGACCTCTAGACCCAGCTGTATATTTTCCTTTCGAACCTATCAAACTGAGACCCTGTTCAGCAAGCTGCCTCCTCGGTCGCAACCACCTCCCCATTTTATGGACACCCTCCCCGTCCCCGCTCACCATCGTGTTCATCAAACTTATCAATCAGGGTGCACATGCGATAGTCCCAGAGTTGAATCACGCCATTGTGCAGACTCGTGAGGATCCAGGGCCGCTTAGGGTGGAAGCTGAGCCCTTAGGAGGAGGAAAAAAAAGAGAGAAAAGTCTTTCCACAATGCAGGAAAGGACAGCAACCAAAACTACTGAACAAGCACACTTTTTGCAAAGGGCGTTTATGTACTTATTTGTATATCTTATTTACAGGCTGCCTTTCTCCTTGTAGACAGCTCGCAACCGTCAAAGCTATATAATAATAACAGAATTGACAGCAAAATAAGTGAAACACTAAAGGATAATTAAACTATAAGCTAATTAAAGTATCTTTGAGTAATTACACAAAACAAACATTAAAGGCTAGCTTAACTTTCAAAAGACCTCCCCCCCCAACACACACCCATTCTAGCTCCTGCAGTTGCACCCGTTACTTCCTCGGGAGTAAAGCCCCAACGAAGCCAGCCCCTCTTTACTCCCGAGGAGGCCTCCGGGCGCAGGGCAGCCCCAAAGGGCACACAGACCCCCACCACCACCACGACCAAGTAAAGCTTTTAAGGAACGACAACGTCTTAAATGATAAGGGAACCATAGGATGCAAAACGTAACGCTTCCAAGTAACGGAAGTGGCCGAAGGGATAGAGGGGTAACGGTAGGGTCCGGTAAAAGTAACGGTTCCAAGTAACGGGAAAGGGCAGGGTAACGGCAGGGCCCGGCGAAAGTAACGTCTCGCCAGCCCCCCCCCGCCCCGCCCGATCCGTTACCTTTCACGCGGGCCGACTTGGTCTCGAACTTGGTGAGCATCTCGGGGCGCCTCCGGTCCCTCCGTCTCGTCCGCCTCCACGTCACCGCCACCCTCCCAGCCCTGGCTCGGCGCTTCCGCTTCCGGCCGCGGCGACCATAGAGCCCCGCCCTGCCCAGAACGGGCCCCAACCCCTTTCCCCGCGCGAGCGCCCCTTGGAGGCGGAGTCCCCGCAGGCGGAGGGGAAGCCCGAGACCCCACCGGAAGCGGCCTCCGCCCGCGACCAGAGAGAGAGAGAGAGGTGGCTAGAGCGTCCCTGGAGGGCGGACGTGTTTTTGTGGGTGTGGGAGACGCCCCGGGGCGGAAGCGGAAGCGCCCCCCCCAAGATGGCGGCGGTCGAGATGAAGAGGAGGAAGAGGGGGATGGGGGCCGGGGGTCTCCTCGGGGGCCTCCTTCTGCTGGGCGCCTTGGCGATGGGTGAGGAAGGAAGGGGAGCCTTTGGGGACCCTC